ATAATCATCCTCACCATCACCACCATCATTACCATCATAATCATCATCATCATGACCATCACCCCCATCATCACCATCATAATCATCCTCACCATTACCACCATCATCACCATCATAATCATCATCATCATCATCACCAACATCCTCGTTGTCATCATCAATCCACTAAATGTCCGTAAATGTAGATAGAGTTGTTTTTAGAACTTGGATGATGGTCACGTTAGCTTTACAAATTGAGGGCTGCAGGTTGAGCAAGCCAAGAAGGAAACTACACCCCATGGATTGGTTTACCTGGCCAAGAATAGCAGTTTCCTACCTGTGCCCACCAATGAGTGCCCACTGTCTGTCAATAGTTGCAGGAGGTACAAGGTTAGGTCTTGGCCTGCCACGTCCATCTGGATGGTCGACTGATGCAAAGGACAGCCCTCAACGATGGGCACGAAGTATGTCATTCCTTCTCCAGATTCAATGGTTGTTCCTAGACAAGAGAACACGGGCATCAGAGTGTGGGGTACACGGTATCCCTTATTGAATGTCAAGACTGCAGAAGAGATGGTAGAGGGGGATGTAACTGGAGGGGAAGGCAAAGGGTCTGAGAAGCAGACTTTCTTGCCCCTAGGGGAGTGTGCCAGGATGGAGCCTATCTGAGTCAGACCAAGGGCTGACTATTTTGGACAGGAATCCTTCAGATTTTCTCATTAAACTAGACATGCAGGTATTAGCAGCAGTTGCCAAAGAGGTAAAAGAAGAAGATGAATACTGTGCTCTTAACACCTTTGTCTCGAAAGAACTGTCTGTGCCTTGATGCGGGCAGTGGGGATCCCTGGGAGATGCTGGAATGTCAGAAGAGTCAGAATGCAGCGGAAGAGGCGTACATTTTGGTTGGCAAGGCAAACTGCTCCCTCTGCAATAGTCCGAAAGGATGTGATGTGGTAATGGGAACACATGGCCCACATTTGTGTGAAATGGTGGATTCTGGAACCATCCAGAGCTGATTAGGGGTCTGGGTGGTTGGCTTCTTTCACCTGTTGAATCTGGTAACCAAGAACTTCAAGTTTAAATGAAGCAAAGTGAGTCAGGAAGACCTCCACATCCAACTAAGATGGGGAACAAAAAGTGGATTCTCCCGCCCAACCTGAAACACTTAAAAAAGAGGGTGACATACAGGAAACAACGGTTTTCAAGATATTGGGCATCAGGCAACAAAGGAGAGATGTCCCAGAGAGATAGGACATCACAAGACAGAGAACGGCAGACCGCCATCCCTCATGAGCACAGACACAAAATTTTAGCAAGTCGAATCCAATAATATATAAAAGGATAATATGTCATGACCAAATGGGATCTCAAGAATGCAAGGTTGTTTTAACATTCAAAAACCAATCAATGTTATTCACCGTATTAAAGAACTAAAAGAGAAAATCCACATGATCATATCAATAGATGCAGAAAATGCATTTGACAAAATCCAACATCCATTCATAATTTAAAAGAAAACTCTCAGCAGACTAAGAATACAAGAGATAAAGTATGCTTATGAGAAACCTACAGCAAATGTTGTACTTACGGTGTAAGACTGAATGATTTCTCTCTAAGATCAGCAGCAAGACCAGTTTTGTGTGGGAGGTTCTAGCTGGAGCAATCAGGCAAGAAAAACGATGAAAAGCATACAGTTTGGAAATAAAGAAGTAAAACTGCCTATCTATAGACAACATTGCCTATGTAGAAAAATCTTACGAAATCTACAAAAACGCTACCAGCACTGATAAATGAGTTCAGTTAGGGTACCATGATACAATATTGATACAAAAATATCAATTGTATTTCCACATACCAGCAACTGAACAATCAGAAATTTAAATAAAGATATCATGCACAATAGCATCAAAATATATGAAACAGAGATAAGTCTGACAAAGTTATGCATGATTTATACACTGTAAACCACAAAACATTGCCAAGAGAAATTAAAGAAAACTTAGGAGATATACCATATTCATTAGTTGGAAGACTCAGTATTGTTAAGATGTTCTTCCCAAATTCATCTGTAGATTCAATACAATTCCAATCAAAACCCAGAGAGCCTTTTTTGGTAGAAATTGACTAACTTATTCTAAAATTCATATGGAAATGCAAAGAATGTAGAGTGGCCAAATATTTTTAAAAACAAGAGACCAAAGTTGTAGCACTAACATTATCTTATTTCAAGACCTATTATAAAGCTGCAGATACCAGGGCAATGTGGCGTTAACCTACAGTTAGACAAATAAGTTCAAGGAACAGAATAGAGAGTACAGAAATAGACCCAGACATATACGGATGACTGATTTGCAAAAAAAATGTGCAAAGGCAATTCAATGAAGAAAGCATAGTTTTTTCAACAAAGAGTGTGGGAACAATGGGACATCTTCATACACACACACAAAACTTCGCTCATACCTTATACCATATATAAACATATATATATTCAAAATGGATCATAGAACTTAATGTAAAACTAAAAATTATAAAACTTCTAGAAGAAAACACAGCAGAAAACCTTTGAGTTCAGCCTATATTTCTTAGATATGACACCAAAAGCAAGAGCCACAAAAAAACCAAATTGATCAACTGGAGTTCACTGAAACTAAAAACTTCTGCTCTTCAAAGACACAATGAAGAGAATGAAAAGTCAAGCCATAGACTGGAAGCAAATATTTGCAAAACATATAGTTGATAAAAGACTTGCACCCAGGATACAAAAAGAATTCTCAAAACTCGAAGACGAACGCCTCAATGAAAAATTGGGCAAAACATTTGAACAGACACTTCTCTGAAGTAGATGTACGGATGGTAAAAAACACGTGAAAGGATGCTCCACATCAACGGTTGTTAGGGAAATAAGAATCAAAATCACAATGAGATACCACTGCCCACCCATTAGAACGGTTAAATTAAGAAGATGCACCATGTTGGTGAGGATCTGGAGGAACTGAAGCTCTCACACATGGCTGGTGGAATGCAAAATGGTGCATGCAACCACTTTGGCTCTAGTTTGGCAGATTTTTTTTCAAGTTAAGCATACGCTTGCTATATGACCCAGCCATATCACTTCTAGATATTTACTCAAATGAAATGGAAGCATATGTCCATGCAAAGCCTTGTCCACAAATGTTCATAGCAGCTTTATTTATGATAGCCCCAAACTGGAAACAACCCAAGCGTCCATTCATAGATGAGTAGATACAGTATTGTGCATTCGTACAATGGAATACTACGCAGCAATAACAAGGAATGAACTGTTGACACAAACAGCAACGCTAATGATCCTCCAAATAATTATGCTGAGTGAAAAAAGCCATTCAAAAAGAGCACTTACCACATGATGACATTTAGACAAAATTCCAGAAAAGGCAAACTCATCTGAGGACAGACTGGAGGGGGCAGTACGGGAGGGAAACGTTTACAGGTGATGGCTGTGTTCCTTATCCTGACTGTGCTGATGGTTCCATGAGTGTATCCACGTGTCAAAACTGATCAAATTGTATGCCTTAACCACGTGCAATTTATTGTACATCAATTACACCTCAAAAAAGCCGTTAAGAAAAAAAAGTGAATCGAGTAGGGGCAAACTGTTTAACCAGGAGGGATGGCAAGGGAAGGAGTTCAGAAAAGGGCTGGCAAGTGTGCATTTTGTGGATTTTTCCTCTCTTTTGTTATTTGTGGGGGCGGGGGGGGGCAGCCTGAGGGACGGGTGAGGGTGGGCTCATGGGGGCCAGGCTTCTAAAGGCCACTCACCAGAGGTTTGGCCGGAGGCGTACAGAGAAAGGACTCCTTGGTTGGCTAAGTACAGGGCAGGCACGTTGAAGGTCTCAAACAGGATCTGAGGAGAAGCATTGGGAAGCAGACAGAGGAGGGGTGGGTCTTCCCTTAATTCCGAGGGCACAACGGGAGTCCGGCTGGCAGGAGGCCCTTGGCTCCCCCAGAGAGATCCCGACAACGGGGTCAAGAAGCAGCCACTCTTTCTCCCAGCTCTGCCCTGACCAGCTCTGTGACTCAGTTTCCCAGTCTGTGAAACGGGCTCGCATCCTTCCCAGGTCCCTTACCAGACTGTCGCGAGACTGATTAGGGAGCTTCTCATCATCTTGTGAACCACCGTTTTATCACGGTGGGGGAGCCGCTGAATTCCCAAATGCCTCTGAGAAGCCACTGCTGCTCCCTCCACTGAAGACCGGCCCTTCTTTCTACTCTCGGAGGGGAGCAGACTTTACAGAAATTCCAACACTTCGACTTGAGGTGATCTAGTTGTTTTATAATAATGAAAATAATGGAGGCTAACAGTCATTGTGTGTTAACTGCATGCCTGACACTTAGTGCAGACATGCTTGTTCAAGAAGTACCTCCTGGTGCTGACTGCATACAGGGTAGAGGCGTAAGCAGGAGACCTGGGTGCTGACTGATACAGGGTGGAGAGACACAGCTTTGCTTCTACCGCCCATGGTGACCCCCCCAAGGCAAGTGACATTGGACCTCCTGGTCCACGTTAGAGACCAGTGGAGAGAATGGGAGGGAGCAGGTGGCAGAGGTGGGACATGAGCGCGGGAGCTGGACCCAGCAGGGCGCTGGCTCCATGAGGTTGGCTGGGAAAGCGAATGATTCTCCTGCAAGATGGTGACACTGGGGTCTCTAAGATTTAAAGGTTCTTTGGATGGTGGGCCCCAACATTGTGTCACTTGGGTAGATGAAAGGCAGCCTGTGTTAGGTGCAGCCCCAAACCAGAGCAGGCTGCCAGGCAGGGCCATGGGGGCTTGCACCTGGGGACAGGGTGACAGCCAGCTGGAGCTGTCGGGGGCAGCTTCCGGAGGGCCAGTGGGGTGGGGTCAGCTAGCTTTAGAGGGATCCCTGTGGATTGGCTCATCTGAATAACTTCGTGGGCTCCTGGGCATAGAGGCTGGCCCAGGTTGTCTGGTCCCTGGCTCTGGAGTGACTAGGACAGGTGTATAGTGGCCGTGGAGTGTGACGGGACAACAGGGAAGTGGTTGGGGTGTGGATTTCATCAGCTGCCCAGGAAGGGGACTGACCGGCCTCTAGAAAGACCTCAAAACCGGGTCAAGGCAGCATTTTTAAAAAACGATATCGCACACAGCCGGGATACACCACTGGGCGAGTTCCTCACTAAGTGTTATTATGGGGCAGCTGTCTGCGGGGGTTCAGGATTTACCCAAGAGAAATGAGAACTCGTGTCCATACAAAGATGGGTTCACGACTGCGCACAGCAGCGTCACGCACCATAGTCCCAGACTGGACTCTACCTGACGTGCATTCCCAGGGGAAGGGACAGGCAAGGTGATGTGTGGAGGGCTGGCATCTGGAAGCAGGTGTGTCCTGCATCCTGTGATTTTGTGCCACCCTCAGGCGCCCCTGGAATTTGGATCCTGGTGGAGGAAGGAGGGCAGCTTCTGTGATCCACCTAGAGACCCCTCCCCCTAAAAACCACAAAGACCAAAACCAGCCTCAGCTCCCCTGGCCTGCGTGAGGCCAGAGGCCATAGAGCTTACAAGGATCTTTAGGGTTCTTGCGAGAAACTCTCTTCTCACAGATGAGGAAACTGAGGCCCGGGAGCAACAAGACGCAGCACTGACTGAAGGCTCGACAGGTGCTAAGCTCTGTGACAAGTGCTTTCTGGCATTCACTCATTTCGTTTCCATGACAACCCCCAGGGCGATACCGTCACCATCCTTCTGATGAGGAAACCGAGACCCTGTGAGGACCAGGAATCCACCCGAGGTCACATGTGCTGGGAGAGCCAGTGCCAGAACCCAGGGGTCTTGCTGCCAGGCCGGGCCCTTCCCCGTACACCAGGCTGCTCCCCCATCAGCTTCTCTTCTGGGCCATGGCCGCCAGAAATCCTCTTAAGATACAGGTTTATTCCAGGAGGAAAATCGTCCCTGAACTTCTGTCTGTTCCAGCCTCAGGGAGGAGCCTTGGGCAGGGAGGGGCCCCTGCAGGGAGGGCAGAGTGTGAAGGAGAGCCCCCGGCACAACATACAGATGTGGAAAAGTCCATTTTTCCATGGCGAGGTGGCATTCCTGGTGCCCCAGTGCGGGCCACCATGGCTGGCTGCCTTCCGTTGCCTGCAGAAACTTCCATCTTCCTCACCACTCTGCCCCGGCTGTAGTCACAGGCTCCCTTTCCCTGGGCAACCCAGTGGGTTCTGCCCACAGGGGCCCAGAAGGAGATCCAAGGGAGGTGAGAGGGAGGTGGCAGACTGATGTCCCCGTTCCCTCCCTGCTGGTCCCTCCTTGAAGGCCACAGCTCCCGGCCACGGCCCTCTCTCAGTGCTGGACACCACCCGTTGCTGTTTCAGATTTAGGGAGGAATGGCTCCTCGTTACTACCCGGACCTCTGCACCATTTCATGTTGCTTTTCTAAAACTTTTGTTCACCTTCCTATGTAATCTCTCCACTAAACTCCCCAAATTACCCCATGCGAGTGTACCTGTGGTTTCCTCCTGGGACCCTGATACACTAGGGGGTGAATTTGGAGACAGCCAGGGCAGAAAGGCAGGCAGCAAACCCGGGGAGGTGGGGAAGGGCTGGAGACAGGCTGTGTGGCCAGCACTGTGGTTGCATGAGGTGAATTTTATGTGTCAATTTGACCAGGCCACAAGGGGCACAGACATGTGGTCAATCATTATTCTGGGCGTGTCTGTGAGGGTGTTTCTGGAAGAGATTAACATTTTAAGTTGATAGACTGCGTAAAGCAGATTGCCCTGCCAGAAGTGGGTGGGCCTCAGCCAATCAATTGAAGGTCTGAATAGACCAAAAGGCCTGAGCTTCCCCGAATAAGAGGGAAATCTTCTTGCCTGATGGCCTTTGAACCAGGACATCAGTTTTTCCTGCCTTTGGACCAGAACTTCCACCATCAGCTTTACTGGGGCTCCAGCCTGCCGACCCACCATGCAGATCCCGGGACTTACCAGCCTCCATACTCACATGAGCCAATTCCTTATAATGGATCTCTTTCTCTCTACGTATCTGCCCCGGTTCTGTTTCTCTGGAGAACTCAGGCTAAGATGGTTTGGGAGCGGCACATTCCCTCGGGGTGAGGGACAGTCCACCTCTCTCTTCTCTGTGCAGCTCCCTGGGGCCCCGATGGGCGCTTAGCATTCTCAAAGCGGGTACCTGCTGTTTCAAGGCCGTAGGCTCTGTGCCCAGTCCACGTGGAGCCCACAGTGGCCCATTTCCGTGATCTGCCTATCCACGTGCAGAGGATTCCTCGGCCCCCTCAGGGCTCGTGTTAAATGAGGCGGCAGCTCACACCTGCCCTGTGATGGATGATGCGCTGTTTCTGGGCCACAGTGCAAGCCTCCTCCATGTGCAAGTGGCACTGCGGGCCGCTGGGCTTGCCGTTCAGGTCCCTGCTCACTGCGGGAGACACCACTGGGCTCCAGGGACAATGGGCCAGGTGGTGGAACCGTGCTGCTTGCTTAATTAGCTCACCGATGTCCTCATTAGGGGAAGCCTAATGATGTAACTGGAACCCGGGCGGCCAGCGGCAGCCCCTGCAGCCCCCACCCGACCTGGACCCCACTCCGGCCCTCAGGAGGACTCTGCAGTCTGTACTGGGTGGGAGGGCACCCTTCTTTCTTCACCAGCCTGCATCCTTGACGTGCTCCAAGATCCTGTTCAACCCAGTTCAATGTGGTCAATCCAATTGGCGCACACCCCCCACGCCTTCTGAGGCTCAGAGAAGGCGGAGGTCCGGGAGCTGTTAAGTCAGGGTGAGACCTCCAGGTGGCCTGCACCACACAGCAGTGCTGGGAGCAGGCTGCGGCGTCAGAGCACGTGGGTCCAGGTGGGTCCACAGCCACTCGCCCTGCAACCTGTGCCAATGACTTCTGCTCCCGGATGTTCTAATTTCTTCATCCGTGCAATGGGCTGATGATCGCCCCGCCCCCCAGAGTGGCCGTGATCGTTTAGGTTAAACACCCAGCCCACGCCGGACCCCTAGGCCAGCTCTCCAGGGGCAGCTGTCATTCCTGCTGCTAACGTCAAAGGGGACAGCTCACCGGCATCCCTATCTCACTGAGCGAAGAGAAGGTGACGTCCTGAGGGGGTCCCCGAGGCTCGAGGCTCGGGAGGAGGCCGGAGCTGCCCCACCGCGGCCTGCTCCCTGACCCCCCGCCCACCTGGCCTCTTACCTGTGACACTTTCTCTTTGTTGGATGTCGTGTTTAAAGGCGGTTCTGTCACCATCAGGGGATGCTGCTCCGGGGCGATGCGGAGGACCTGGTAGAAGGAGTGATGCCAGATCTGGGGAGAGAGGGGCTACACAGTGAGGCGGGGGGAACCCGTCTACACCACACAGTGGCTTCTTCGGTAGCACATGCGATCGTGATTCACAGCGGGAAAGACGGAGTGTGGCCTTGGACGAGACACAGGACCTCCATTCATGTGCCAGGCCTTGAGGTGGGAAGGGAGCAAAGATGCATGAGGCACGGTCCCCGTCTAGAGGACCTCATAGTCTGATGGGGGGACAGATGCAAGTCCCACACCGTAGGGGGGAGCCCCATGACACAGTGGGAGGGAGTGTGGCATGGGGAGAGGGTGCGGGGTGCAGACACACCATTAGTCCCAGTCCCACGTGCACCAGGTGTGTGCACGGACGAGCCACCCGACCATTGTGAGCTTGTTTCCTCATCCATAAGACGGAAAATGTGCCCCACTCATGGAGGACTCTGAGGATTCAGTGATGTGACGTTGGTAGAAGGCTAGTGTATGAGTTTCCTGTGAGTTTCCTGACGTAACAAACACCACAGATGGGGCGGCTTAAACAACAGACATTTACTGTCTCCAGTCCTGGAGGCTGGACATCTGAGACCAAGGTGTCACAGGGCTGGTTCCTCCTGAGGCCTCTCTCCTTGGCGTGTGGACGGCCGTCTCCTCCCTGTGTCTACACATGGTCGTCCCTCGGTGTGTGTCTGTGTCCTGATCTCCTCCTCTTATAACGACACCAGTTATGTTGGATTAGGGCGAAGCCTAGTGACCTCATCTGACCTTGACCACCTCTTCAAAGGCCCCATCTCCAAACAAGGTCATGTTCTGAGATACAGGGGGTCAGGACTCCAACATGTGAACTTGGGGGACACAGTTCGGGTCATAGCACCTGGTACAGTGCTTGGCGCACAGTAGGTCCTCAATAGGAATAGCTAATCACTACGGATGAAGCACCTGCCTGCCTCTGGGAGGGAGGCTCCATGGAGAACAGAAAACAGGAATGAAGGACGTGCTCCCTGGGGAAAGTCAGTGCAGGAAGGGCCTCGGGAAGGGGGAACAGCGTGTGCAAGGGCACGGAAGCACAAAGCAACACGGTGCCTGTGAAACAGCAAAAGCCAGGTGGGTGGGCTCACACCTAGATGGCCAGCCACTGAGGGCCTGTAGCAGGAACACGACGTGAGCAGTAGAAGAGACTCAGCAGGCAGTGTGGGGTGAATTAGGGGGATGAGATGCAGAGTGGGGGGCCATAGAGGAGGATCATTGCAATGACCCTGGTATTCGGGTAAAAACTTGAAACCAAGAGCTGGAATCACCTAAAGACACACAGAAACCAGCTCCATTAGCTCTCAGTCAGGCAGCATTTGCCAGCCCCCCACAAAGAAATTGGAGAGGAAGGTGGGAGCTGTGACCAGGTAACACGGGTCCCACAAACTGGTGAGCAGCGCCCTCCAGACACCTGTCTACACTGCTTCAGTCTCTGCATTCCCTCCCACACACTAACTTGGAGCTACAGCCAGAACCAGGGCTGACACCTCAGCTGTGGAGATAGAAAAATATCTGTGAATGATGCCCCCACAGCCCCCCTCTGAGAGGGCCCCCAATGACCCACACCTCCTGGCACTCAGGCCTGTGCAGACTTTCCCACATTGAAACAGGACTGGCTTGTGCGACCTACAGAATAGGGCCAACATGACAGTGTGTGACTCCTGAGGCTACATCATAAAGGCATTGCAGCCTCTGCCTTGGCTTCTACGATCTTTCGCTCTGAGGGAAGCCAACCACCAGGCTGTGAGGACATTGAATGTCCTGCAGAGGGGCCCATGTGAGGAGGGTCCATCCCCCCAGGCACATGAGATGCCACTTTGGAAGTGGGTCCTCCAGCGTCAGTCAAGCCTTCAGATGATGCAGCCCCAATGGATATCTGACTGCCTCCTCATGAGAGACCCCAGGCCAGAACCACTCAGCTAACTGCTCCCAAATCCCTGACCCACAGAAACTGAGAGAGGTGATGGGTGGCCATCATTGTTTTAAGCCTCTAAGTTTTGGGGTGATTCATTATGCAGCTTGGATAATTAATGTGTCTTCCAAGGCAGTGTGCAACCTGTTCAACCACATATGGAGGTCCTAATCAGAACCTCAGTTACTAAAAGGGAGTGGTTCAAATCAGCCATATTTATTACATCCTTACTATGCTGGACTAAGGAATTTTTTTTTTTATTGTGGTAAAACATACGCAGCATAAAATTTACCATTTTGAACTTTTTTGTGTGTGTGTGAGGAAGATCAGCCCTGAGCTAACATCCTATGTCAATCCTCCTCTTTTTGCTGAGGAAGATTGGCCCTAGGCTAACATCCGTGCCCATCTTCCTCTACTTTATATGGGACGCCCCCACAGCATGGTTTGACAAGTGGTGCATCGGTGCATCGGTTCGCAGGATCTGAACCTGCGAACCCCGGGCCACCCAAGCAGAGCGCATGCGCTTAACCGCTGTGCCACTGGGCCAGCCCCGCATTTTGACCTTTTGTAAGTGTGCAGTCAGTGGCATTAAGCACATTCACATTGTTATGCAACCATCACCACCATCTATCTTCAGAAATTTTCCATCTTCTCAAACTAAAACTCTGTCCCCATTAAACACTAACCCCCCATCTGCCTCCCCCAGCCCCTGGCACCTACCATCCTACTTTCTGTCTCTGTGAATTTGACTCCTCTGGGGACCTAATACAAGTGGAATCATACAATATCTGTCTTTTTGTGTCTGGCTTATTTCACTCAGCACAGTGTCCTCAATGATGAAGCACGTGTCAGAATTTCCTTCCTTTTCAAGGCTGAATAATATTCCATTGTGTGTACATACTACATTTTGCTTATCTATTCACCCATTGATGGACACTTGGGTGAATAGATAACACAACAGCTGTTAGCTGTTGTGAATGGTGCTACCATGAACACGTGTATGCAAATATCTCTTCCTGTCCTTGCTTTCAATTCTTTGGGTCCATACCCAGAAGGGGGCTTCCTGGATCACATGGTAATTCTAGCTTAATTTTTTGAGGAGCCACCATACTGTTTTCCACAGTGGCTGCACCATTGTACATTCCCACCAACAGTGCACAAGGGTTCCAATTGCTCCACATCCTTGCAAACATTTGTCATTTTCTGTTTTTTTTTTTTTTTTTTATAATAGCCATCCTAATGGGCGTGAAGTGGATTAAGGACTTTTTATCCATCATCCCCTTTAATCCTCACAACAGCACTGTATGGTAGGAAAAATTATACCCTTTCTTACAGATAAGGAAACTGAGGGCCAGAGAAGCCAAATTACTTTTCCAAACTGATGTAGATCATAAGGAGTGGAGACGGGATTCAGACCCAGGTCTCTGACTCCAGAACCTATGTGGTTTGCACCATGATGCGGAGTTTACAGGGACCTAAGAGATGCAGAGGGAGCCCTGGATGCCGGCTTAGATCCCTTCCCAGATGCCCAGGCAGCAGAGAAGGGTCACCCCTTGGCATCGGTGGGGGTCCTGTGAATAGGTCCCACCCCGACTGAAGCTGCGGCCCACCTTTTCCATGTTGTCCCAGTCGGCGATGGTCGCCCGGGAGACGGGGTACTGCAGGTTGAGTTGCCCCCTTTTATTCTGAACCTCAGCTCCGATGAACCAGTCTTTCTCTTCCATTCCCACCAACGGATTCTGAAAAACACGGGCCAGGACAGGTCCCCTCTCCAGACTGACTCGCCTCCACTCAACTTTCACACTGGTGCACCACGAGCAACGAGTGGGCGCCGTGATGACCTGGGTGATGACCTGGGAGGGTCGGCTCCAGGTCACAGCGCTGGACCTGTGGCCTCCCCAAACCCGCACACTGGTTCAAAATGCCACCAAGAGGTTTTAGCAAGTGACCCTCGAGGTATAGCGCTCCCGAGGACCCACGCCTGGACCCTCATCTTGACCGCTTTGCAGACGAGGACCCTGAGCACGGGGAAGAGAGAGGCGGTGGAGGCAGGAACGGGGTGGGGAGAGGCGCCAGCTTCCAATCTGCTTTGGAGAGCTGGCGGGAAAGGGTCTGCAGTTTAATTTACTTTCTATCATCTTTTAGGAAGATGAACCCAGCTACTTTCCTGGCAGATTAAACCACTCGTTCTGTCGTTCAGAAGGGGATGTGACAGTTGGTTCACATGTTAGTCTGGGTCCCCCAAGGAGCAGACAACAAGACGGGACTAAAGGTGCGAAGATTTTCTTATAGGATATGCCTGTGTGAGAGAAAACGGGGAGGCAGCTGGATGGGGCTGGGAGAGACATCAGGCCCACGTTTGATCACTGGCCTCACTAGCTGAGCCCTCTGCAAGGGTCCTGCCTTCTCTGTGCCTCAGTTTCCCTTCCTCACCTGCGAAGGGGCCTTATGTGTGGGCCTTAAAGCCATGGGTCACAAAGGCTGGTCCGCAGACCGCCTGCACTGATCACATCAGGGTTCCCTGGAAAGCTTATGCAACTATCCTTGGCCACCCGCCGCCCTGCCCCTGAGATTCCGACTTAGGAGACGGAGGTGGGGCCAGGCCGCCTGGCTGTGTGAAGCTCCCAGTGATCCTGACGCTCTGCATGTCTTGGAGTCCTTTGTCTCCAACTCTAGACTCGGCTTAATCGGTGCCCGAGGCTCTGCTCCTCAAGGAAACACTGGCCGTCCTTCTAGAGAATGACCTTGGCCACAGTACAGCCCTCTGGGCTGGCTGAGCCCGAGCCGAGGCTGCCTCCGGCCCGGCCAGGGTGGACTCCCGTGAGGGGAGACCCTCACCCCCAGCTCAAACGCTCCCCCCACTCGCCCTCTAAGTTACCCTATACTCCGGGCAGAGACAAGCCCTGGAGGAGGGGCTGTGAGCCGAGCTGAGATGTCTCGTTGTCGCTCTAGTGGCCTGGATGGGGCCCCCTAAAGATGTGTCCACCTGTGTGTGATCTGATTTAGAAAGAGCTTTTGCAGATGTAATTAAGTTAAGGATCTCGAGATGAGATCATCGCAATTACCCAGGTGGGGCTGAAATCCAAAGTGCCTCATAAGGACATTTATAAGAGAAAGCAGAGCGAGACTGGAGACAGAGAAGAGAAAGGGGAACAGGCCACGCGACGACGGAGGCAGAGGCTGGAGTGAGGCACCCGAGAGCCCAGGGGCGCCTGGAGCCCCCAGAAGCTGGAAGAGGCGGGGAGGACCCTCCCCTAGAGCCTTCGGAGGGAGCGTGGACCTGCCACACCTTGATTTCAGACTCTGGCCTCCAGAACTGGGAGAGAAGGGATTTCTGTTGTTTTATGCCCCCCGGGTTGTGGTCATTTGTTATGGCCGGCCCAGGACACTCACACATTCGTCATTGGCATCATCGCCACCATCATCTTCATCGTTATTAAACACTTCCTATAGGCCGGACACTGTGCTAAGGACACATTCACCACCTCATTTAACCCCCGGGCCAAACGACATAGATATAAACATGTATTTTTCTTAACCCCGTTATGCAAAAGAGAAATCTGGGTAGCAAAGGGACACTTGCCCAAAGTCACACAAGTGCTGGGGGGCAGCACTGTGTTTGAGCCTGGGTCTCCCTGACGCAGCGGCCCCCACTCTTCTGCACTAAGCTCTACAATCTGGAAGTAACAAGCTGATCATCTGGGGGTAGGTGGGGGTGCAGGAACCTGCTGATTACTAGGCCGTCGCAGCTGCATCCCCGGCATCGGACAGCGAGCGGCAATCAGCTGTCTCCAGGTCCCGGGGCAGTTTCCTGCTTAGTGAGGGGCCAGCGTTTTCACACTCGGCCACAGATATGCACGTCAGCTTCAGCCTGAGCTGGATAATGAGAAACACTGCCAACAATTTGCTTCAAGAGCTACAGAGCCCAGGAGTCATCACCATGGGACCCGTGACATTTGGGATTTGTCACCCAGCTGCTCCCTGTCTTGGATGATTCAACTTCCCTCCGAGGAGCACGGTGACTCAGAGCAGGGGCTTGAACTAGGCCCACTTTACTCACCATGTGGATATGGGTGAGTCACCTCTCCGAGCTGCCCGTCTCTTTTCAGGGAGAAGGGCCACCCTGGCGCCTACCTGGCAGGGCTGCCGGGCTCAGATCAATGTAATCAGTAACGGTTATGATGGGAACGTGGGGCTAAGGGCCTCACGGCTGCTTCAGTTGGAAGAGCCCCTGGATGTCCCGGGGGCCTCACAGGGGAGGTGGGCGAGCATCTTGCAAAGGACATGGGGTCTGACTGTAGAGCTGGGTCAAGCCCCCCGCACAGCACCCTGGGTAAGGCCCAGAGGGAGAGTCGTGACATCTAGCCTGCAGATACGTTTTGTTTAGTCTGCATGGGGTTTGTGGAAAAGTGAGTTAATACTTAGAAACTTGACACAAAAATCTGAACTTCTTAAACGTAGAATTCCATCTGATCTAGCAATCCCACCTCTGGGTATATGCCCCAAAGAACTAAAAGCAGAGCCTCAAACAGATACTATTTGTACTCCCATGTTCACAGCAGCATTCTTGACAATAGAGACAAGGAGGAAGCAACTCAAAGGCTGAATGAATAAACAAAATGTAGTCTATCCATACAATGGAATATTACACAGCCTTAAAAAGGAAGAAAATTCTGGTATCTGCTGCAACGTGGATGGACCTTGAGGACATTATGCTGAGTGAAATAAGCCAGTCAGAAAGGACAAATACTATACGATTATGCTTATGGGAGGTCCCCAGAGTCATCAAATTTACAGAGACAGAAAGTAGGATGGTGGGTGCCAGGGGCTGAGGGAGAGGGAGGGGGGTTAGTATTTCAGGGGGACAGAGTTTCAGTTTGGGAAGGTGAATAATTTCTGAAGATGGATGGTGGTGATGGTTGCACAGCAAGGTGAATGTGCAATGCCATTGAACTGTACACCTAAAAATGGTTAAAATGGTAAGTTTTATGCTGTGTATATTTTACCACAATTAAAAAAAATCTGAATTTCTAAATTCTCTTGAAAAGCAGGAAGATCTGGCAACACTGGGCCCCCTTTCTTACACGTCGACAGGCAGCAGAGGACGCCCTCTTAGGCACGGAACTTGCCTCAGTCTCCACCCCTCCCTATTGTCTTCCTGTCACAGAGGTGAGAGTCAGTTGCCACTTAGCACTAGTGGACTACTGTTTACCTTAAAGGTAGAGAACTACTTCCCAGTCTCCACACCACTCTTAACAGTGGGAAATTCACCAAGTAAATAGATGGGCACCCTGATTTATTTTGTACAACTGTCTGCTTTTTTAACTCATATAACTGGCCTCCTCCATCTAGGTCAGTGGTTCTCAAAGTGTGGCCCCGGGGCAGCAGCACCATCATCCCTTGAGAAGTGGTTTCAAAAGACAAACCCCCAGCCCCGTCCCAGACCTGCAGAAGCAGACGCTCAGGGGTGGGCTCGGCCGCCCGATTTTTTCAAGCCAGGGCCCGTGATGAGTCTTACACAAGCTCCCCTTGGCCGACCCCTGCCCTAAGGATGTGACTTGGCCAGCCCTGTGTTGGGTGTGGGGTGGCTGTCAGGCCGGGCAGCCACCTTTGGGCTGACCAGCACCCCAGGAAGGATACCCCATCACTCACGTCGTGCCGAAGTTTCCCGAGGATGGTTGGGAATACGGCCAGGGGCGCTGCTGTTCCCGAAAAGCCCACCTTGCTGAAGCCGGAGCCATAGTCGCAGACAAGGGGCACATTCATCGTGCTGTTCGTGACCTGGATGGGGCTGCGGGGGAGACATCACGGTTATTTGTGTTGCTTGCAAGATGCTCATCGCGGGGCAGGCTCTGTGCCAGCCGTGGACTCGGGCTCCGCACTCACAAAGCTCACGGTGTGTCCTCCTCACACCAGAGCTAGGCCCTGCCTGGCGTGCGAGCCACTGTCTGGACGCTGTGGGCCGTTTGCTGGAACAGTGGGCTCCCAGATGACCGTTTACACGTGGCTGCCTGGAGAAGGGAGGCCATGGGGCCAGCTGCCAGGCTAACACTTTGCTGTGACACGGCCTCTATTGGTTTCTGCCATGTCCGTGACTTGCTTCACTGGCGCAAGGTGTCATCTGAAGCAGCCCCTTTCCCATTCACTGAGGAAGGCTTTGGGTGGGGGCCTGTAGGAGACCCAAGGAGGAGCCGGTGGCCCTGGTGGTCTGCATGATGGTCACAGCCAGGCCCCCTTATCCCCAGCACAGAAACTGCCTCTCCTGGGAGACTTCACTGGCCTCCTGGCCCCAGGTCAAAACCAATCCCTCCTTCCACTTGATTGCTAGACAACTCCTCCCATGTTTTCGCAAGTTTGGAAAACAAGAGCAAACACAAAGAAGAAAATCATAAACACCCATCACCCTACCACTCAACCTGTGCTATTTTGATATTTGTTTCAAATCTATTTCCATGCATGATTTTTACAAATTTTACCCTCAAAACAATGAATCCATTTAGAATATTGCACTTTGACTGAATCTTCACCACGACAAATGTTTTCTTCACTTTAAAAGCTATTTTAATTCTTTTTCAGATAAAGACTACATGTTTATTATAGCAAAGAAAGGAAACTATGAGGAAAAATAAAACCCTCCCCAAACCCTACTAATCGTAGACGGACTTTGTTAATATTGGGGAGTTACCCTTCCAGTCTTTACGTATGACATAGGGGTCATCATCTATCTGGCACCTGTGAGCAGCTGTGTGTGTACATTTCTAGGGGGCAGTGGAGTGTAGCCTGGCTATGTGTTTATTGTGTATAACATTACATATAAAACATTATACACACATATATAGGTTTGTATTAGACATTTTTCTGAGTGCTATAAACACCCCCAAGTCATCAAGCATCACGGAAACATTTTCTGTTATTGCAGGGTCTCACCACATCCATCCACTAGGATTCTGTCAGCCATCCCCTACTGTCGGACATTTAGATCCAATCTTTTGGTTTTTGTAAATAACCTTGCAATGACCCTCCCTACTCATCATTCTTTCTCCTGACTCTGGATCAGCTCTTTAGTTTATACATCCTTAGGATGACTAGTTGGAAGACTAGAATTTGTAAAGCCTCCGTAAACATTTTGCCAAATTGCTGTCCAGAAATGTCGGTCAATTCACCACTGCTGTGACAAGGCACTTCGCACACTGTGCTCCATAAGCCCCGGTCTCCCCAAGAGGCCATGAGCTTCTCCAGACACAGCCCACATCCCTCCAAGCGCCCTGTTGCCACCACCAGATGCTCAGCTAACGTTGGCCGAATTGCTCTGGAATTCTGGTCTGTCCTTTGGGGGGACTTCATAATCTCCCGCTTTGGAATTTCCGTGGGCGTCCCATCTTCCTGTGTGCCAGTCGCAAACCTGCAGCTGCATGTAGCTTCTTAAAGACAGGGCCTTGGCTGGAGGGCGCTGGGCGTGCTGCCATCAAGTCTGAGCTTGACGGGGCCCTTTACGGTGCAGGAAGCACATGTATGAACTTGCTTACCTGGTTCTTGCTGAGGTGAGATGGGGTGGCAAGTATTATCACTATTCTTCTTAATGTCGTCTTTATTATAGATCCTCTTGATATGCAAGGGATTTGCCCCAAGTCCCCCAAACAGCCAACAGCAGACCTGGGAGGAGGATCCGAAAGCCCCGCTCTTTCTACCACTGCTCAGCGCGTCTGGAGCAGAAGTGAACTAACTCTGGGGCTGGGCAAGCATCCTCATGCTTCCTTTGGTACAAGAGCATCTGAGCTCAGAGTGACAAAAACATGATTTTTCCTGTGTTTTGTTTTAAATCCTGAGCCAGAACATGTTGGTCTGGGACGTCTGGAGTGGCATAAAAACTGGTTCAGGGCAGGGAGGGCATCGCCTCGATGGGCTGACTCACTGGGCCTGTTGGGCACCAGGGTGAAGGGCAGGGCTGCCGCACCCAGGATGGCCCACTCGACGAAGGGCTGCTTTCCTCCTCTCCTCCGAATCCTTGTTGATCTGGAACTCACCTGTGAACCTAAACATCCAGTATCAACACACAGAAATAAAAATCTAGGGAAAGGCGTGAAGGAAATGGGAAGGGAGATGTTCAGCTGGTTAAGACGTTGTTACCCACGTGACTGACACACAAAAGGAAGAGAAGGATTGAGCTGCTCCCAAATTTCAGGAACTGTGCTAAGCACAAAAAAACTAGCGCCAGTGAGACGGGTGACGAAAAAAATCTAGAGAAGTAAAAGGTGGAGGCTGCCTGTAACCCAGGTGGCGTCCTTCCATGTCATCACTTTGCACGAAGCCGCTGTGATGTGATTAGCAGAGGCGGTGTCTTCTTGACCCAGCTGGGGCTTCTCCAAGTTAGCCCGTCAGCCTCTTAGACCCTTTGATTCTGTCTTCCCGCCATCGCCCTCTGTTCCCGGGATTTGGACGAGCTGGACTCTAAGCTCTGAGCCCCAGAGATGCCGCAAGACTCATGCCAACCAATGACAGTATTCCCCACCTGGCTACTGTGGTCAGGTGAATAATGGCCCCATCCGAACGCCATGTCTTGATGCCCAGAACCTGGGAACATATGACCTTATGTGGCAGGAGGGACTTTGCAGGTGTGATTAAGTTAAGAATTATGAGATGAGGAGATTAGCCTGGATTATCTGGTGGGCCCAATGAATCACAAGCATCCTTATATGGGGAAGAGAGAGGCAGGAGGGTGACAGTCAGGGAAAAGAGAGGTGATGACCGAAGCGGAGGGTCAGAGTCAGAGAGAGATTGGCAGATGCTACCCCGCTGGCCTGGATAGGAAGGGCCACAAGCCAAGGAATGCGGGCGGCCTCTAGAACCTGGAAAAATGAAAGGAAATGGATTCTCCCCTAGAGCCTCCAGAGGGAGTGTGGCCGTGCCGGCACTTTGATTTTGGCCCAGTGAAATCCGTTTCAGGCTTTTGACCTCCAGAACTGAAAGATAATAAAATTGCATTGTTGGAAGTCACTGAGTTTGTGGTAATTTGTTACGGCTACCCTTGACCCTCGGTCAAGAAGTGGGCATGTGATGCAAGCCAAGGTCCCTTCCTGGGACGCTGGCCAGAGCTATCAGGGAGGATACTCTGTTCCGCTTGAGTCACGAGCTGGGAGAACTCTGTGAGTCAGCATACGGCCAGAGTTTACCTAAGGAGGAAGCCAGCCCAGAGGAAGCAGAGACAAGCCACGGAGAATGGAAGCTTTACAACGTGGGTGAGTGTGTATGTCAACCCACTCTGCACTATTCAGTCCAGTGAACCAACAAAATCCCTTCCCGCCTGAACAGGTCTGAGTTGGGGCTTCTGTCACTTGCAACCAAGAGAGTCCTGACTGATGTACGGCAATTGGTTCTTGGCCATTAGAATTTGGTTGGCTCGGTGCCAAGAAAATCATTGAAAATTACAGAAATATGATTAGTCTCTGAAAATGCTCTCATAGAGTCAGCTGAAGGTGGACTAGATCAGGGACATTTAATGCTGACATGGGGTAATCACTATTCATTCAGCAAATATTGATCAAGAGCCTCCTGGGGGTCGGGCACTGTTCTAGATCTGGGAACAGTAAGGGACCATCAGACAAGTTTCTTCCCTCATGGGCCTTCTGGTATACCTGGGGAGCCAGATATTATAGCAGATTATTATTTTTTAATTAAAAGTAGTTAACGATTTTTCGGTTGTGATAAGTGCTATCAAGGAAATGTGTGTTATGGATAGTTATTGGAGGGCCTCACCCGGTCAAGGCAGGAGAGGGAAGTGTCTACCTTGTGCCCCGGAAGACTTTAGCTTACATGAAATACAGGTAGGAACTGGGGAAATATATCCCATTCAACATTTTGATTCTGGTCAAAATTTCATTGTCACTTTTCTCTCATTCGCCCCCGACCCTGACAAATGGACTCCAGGGGTTTGCTGGGTCCCGAAGAATTAATAGTCCAATCAGCACCTCCTGAAAAGGTGTTAGAATTTTTCTTTCCCTAGTCCAGTTACTCAGATGAATGGCTGCCAGTCCTTCTGGGGAAAGCTAGAGGAAGACTCACAGGACACAAGCGTGTTGTCATCTTCACGTAGACCTGGCTTCCCTTCATTCAAGGACTCTGGTCTCAAAAGTGCATGAGCTAGTCTCTCTTCACCGGATGTGAATTATTCTTTGTTGTATAAATAAGGTAAGACATCAGAGGAGCGATTCTTGATATCATTCCTGGGACCCTTGATAACCACAGCCAGAAATCTCAGTGGGTCAGACCGACTGTGAAGCTGTGATGGTCATGTCTGCCCTCTTGCCTATCATGATAACCATGTCTGCAGTTTGCATCGGTGGCTAACTGCCACTCCCTGATGTGGGACTTGCCCACATCAGGACACTGTATAGATACAGTCCGTAGGACGGTCGTAGAAAGGCCCTCAGTTTCGTTCCATGTATTGAGTCAACATTTTAAAATTTAAGCTTAATGTTCCCTTCTTCTAAGCTGTTCAAAGCTGTCAGAAGCAACCATCCTACCCATTACATCAGCATTCCGTGTCCCCTTGGTCTACGGCAGCAGACAGCAGTCCCCCAGAATCCTTCAGTGAGTTCATGACCTTAGGGGAATCACAGGTGAGCACACGATTAGCTGTTGGTCAGAGTGTAGCATTCTTGAGTGTAAATGGAAGTCTCTCTTCCTTTTACCCCATCACAGTCTGAAAATAAGTTCAGAACCCTGTATGGATCCCCACAAGAGCACTCTACTTCTGGTACAAGCAGGATATCATTTGGGGTTCCTTGGTTGCAG